TGAGCCACCGCGCCCGGCAGGGGCTGCTCTTCTCTGGCTGTGTCCTTATTGTTTTTGTTGGCAGGGGCAGGGGCTCGAAGTCTCACTCTGTGGCCCAGGTTGGAGTGCAGTGGCGCCATCTTGGCTCACTGGAACTTCTGCTTCCTGGGTTCAAGTGATTCTCATGCCTCAACCCCCCGAGTAGCTGGGATTACAGGTGCCGAACACCATGCCTGGCAGAGCCTCTCTGTCCATCTGTATTTGGGGTGAGACTGCCTTTTGGGGCCGTCTGGGAATGAAATGAGATGATCCCTGTGAAGACTTTAGCCCAGGGCTGGGGACATGGTGGGTGTATAATCAGGATTATTTCGAAGGCAGTTATTGGTACAAGGGCTGATGGGGACCCGGAGGTTCCGGGTGGGAGCAGGAGGAAGGTGCTGGCCGCACCTGCTCAGTCTTCAGGGTCTGCCCGGCCCAGCTGTGGTCAGGCTGGGGAGCGGGGGCGAGGGTCAGGGTTGTCTGAGGTGGCACCTGAGGGCTGAACCTGGGCCAAGATAAGGTGGAGCCTGGTGGCAGGGGTCTGGGTGGGAATCCTGGCACTTCTGGGCATGGGCAGTGATCCTGGGTTGGCTGCCTCACCTCTCAGGGCCTCGGTTTCCTCTTCTGTAAAATGGGGCAGTGTTTAGGATCCTGGGACTGGAGAGGTGGATAACGACCCTGTGAAGGTCACTGACGACCCCAAGGGGCGCAGTTTTGGGGGAAAAGTGGGAATGAGAGGCTCTAAGGCCCGCTGTGGTGGCTGACGCCTATAGTCCCAGGACTCTAGGAGGTTGAGGCAGGCAGGTCACCTGAGGTCCAGAGTTTGAGACCAGCCTGACCAACGTGGTGAAACTCTGTCTCTACTAAAAATACAAAAATTAGCCCAGCAAGGTGGCGGGCGTCTATAGTCCCAGCTACTCGTAAGGCTGAAGTGGGAGAATTGCTTGAACCCAGGAGGCAGAATTTGCAGTGAGCTGAGATTGTACCACTGCACTCCAGCCTGGGCAACAGAGCGAGACTCCATCTCAAAAAAAAAAAATAAGGAAAGGAAGAAAAAAGAAAAAAAAAGCTCTGAGAGGGGGCATGAGGCTGGCGGTTCTGGGGAGAGGAGAGGGACTCCACAGGGACAGGATGAGACACAGAGCGATCCTGTTGGGAGCAGCAGTAGAGGGGACAGCAGACGCTGGGGAGTGAGGAGGGCAGTGGGGCAGTGTCCTTGAGGCACAAAGTGGGAGAGACCAGGGTGTGGGGGATGGGAATGGGGAAACAGAGGCTGGGTTGGGGGTGTGGGCAGGGCTGCGTAGGGCACTGGGGTGGGCTGCTGATCCCCTCAGGCAGCCCCTCCTGCTTCAGCCCCCCTGGAAAGCTCCCAGGCCACCGCTTAGCCTGTGGGATTCCTCACCACTCCACACCCAGAGCTATGCCTGCCGTGAGCAGGTGCTCAGGAAGCGTTCATCAATTGCCAGAGGTGCTCAATAAATGCTCGCTGCCTACGGTGTCCAGTAAGTGCGCTCTGATTGACTGCGGCGCCTGCTAAGTGCTGTGTGACTGGACACAGGAACTCAGCTGCCTCTGGGCTCTGGGGCCACAGCTTGGAGGGCCTACAGAGGCTCTGTCTCCACCTGCCTCCCCTTGACCTCTGAGAGGACCTCCATGGCACCGAGGACAATCGCAGTGACTGGCCAACAGGCAGGGGCTCGGTAAGTCCCTGGTGTCCCTTGGACCTCCTGCATCTGCCCATCAGAGATACAGAATGATGACACGTCAGGTCTTTGCTGGCACCACACTCTCCAAGCGTGGTCAGCCATGCCTCCCAGGTCTCACACTGTGCTTGTGTGGGCCTCTCCCATCTGGTCCTGGGCCTGGCCACGTGACTGGCTTCAACCAATGGGCCACCCACAAATGTGAAAGTGGCACTCTGCATGGGAGCTGCCCTCTGGGCTCCCAGCCACCAGAAGAAACCCCGGCTGGCCTGCTGGAGAGGCCACAAGGAAAACCTGACCTCTGCTGCCAACAGCCCCGGTTGAGGGCCCCCTCTGACTATGCAGTTGCAGCTGAGCTCCCATGAGCAACCACGGGTGACCCCCAGGGAGAGCAGCAGAACCACCCAGCTAAGCCTAGCCCAAAGTGCAGAATCGTGAGTAGGTTAATTGCTGGGGCTGGAAACCACTGAGTTTTGAGATGCCATGTTATGCAGCAATAGCCACTGCTCCAAAGCACATCTGTCTCTGTACCCTGCACCCTCTCAGTGACCTGATGAGCCACGTTTACTGAAGGGAAACACAGGGACCAGAGAGGGAGTGAGTTTACTCGGTCACACAGCAGGTGGGCAGTGGATCGGCGGGGGGAGTCCCAGAGATGGGTGGGTAATTGCCACGCCAGGCTCTGCCTGCGACTGCGTGGGTAAAGCAGGCTGCTGGCACGTGGTAGGACAGAGGAAATGTGGGCTCCTTTCTCTGTCTCGGGGGGTGGAAATCTCTGGGACTGGCAAAGGGCCTATGGCCTGGAAAAGGGGGAGGAAGGCGGAGAAGAGAGTGGGAGACATGGGCTGCCACGGTCCCTGAGCAGCAGGGTGGAACCTTCTGGACCTGTGGACACCCTCCACCTGCCACCTCCGAAACCATCCCACAAACCCAGTGAGAAAGCCCAAGTGGTTAGACAGACAGGTGTCTGGCTGGCTGCCAAGCGGGTGGGTTGGTTAGTTCAGAGCAGAGAGAGGCTCGTGGCTACCCTTGGCACTGACCTGGGTCGGGGGAGCCTAAGGGGCCCCAAGTGTCTTCCAGGATCAGGTTGAGGAGGGCGGGGGTGGTTCCTCGGGGCTGGAAGAAAACATGGGCAGCATACATGAGGCCAAGGTCAGAGGCCACAAGGCCTGCTCAGCTGGCTGGAGTGCATGTTTGGGTGATACTCTGGTCTTGGAAGACCTCTGGCTTGAGATTCCAGGCATCCTCCTTAAAAGTGGGGCGAGTGGGCTGGGCGCGGTGGCTTATGCCTATAATCTCAGCTGAGACAGGTGATCACCTGAGGTCAGGAGTTCGAGACCAGCCCAACCAACATGGTGAAACTCCGTCTCTACTAAAAATACAAAAATTAAGGCCGGGCGTGGTGGCTCAAGCCTGTAATCCCAGCACTTTGGGAGGCCGAGGCGGGTGGATCACGAGGTCAAAAGATCGAGACCATCCCGGTCAACACGGTGAAACCCCGTCTCTACTAAAAATACAAAAAATTAGCTGGGCATGGTGCCGTGTGCCTGTAATCCCAGCTACTTAGGAGGCTGAGGCAGGAGAATTGCCTGAACCCAGGAGGCGGAGGTTGCGGTGAGCCGAGATCATGCCATTGCACTCCAGCCTGGGTAACAAGAGCGAAACTCTGTCCCAAAAAAA